CACGATCCTAGAAAAATAATACACAGTTACCCACACAAGCTATATGTAACAAACAAATAGATTAATTTCATGACAAGAATAGACAAAGCAGACAACTGTACCGAAACTGAAGGTGGAAAGAACCAAGACACGCCACCACTGCGACCGCAACTTCGTTCTTCTAGTGTCTTGCACAGACATGCCATTTCTATAATCTAATGCATCATCATCACATATACCAAAGTCAGCAATACAAGTTTAATCTACTAAATTACACACATAAAGGAACTCACCCTTGTTGAAATTTTGGTCCTGGGCAAAAACTCGACCAAATCTTCACGTAACAACTCAAGAGCCCCGCCATCAAGACGAACCAATACGTCCCTGTTATACAAGACCAAGTTCAAACACCACAACATTAGAATAAGGCAAATACCAAAAATTTCCTACAGATATGATCCAATCTTACTTGTAATGATTTCGGGAGGTACCTTTCGGGAAGCGAACTACTAAAAGCAAATTGAATCATCTTTACTGCCTCCAGAGTCAATGGTGTCTGAACAACAAAGGGAGGAGCACGGTACAAAGGTTGTCCTTTCTTAGCTCTGGGATTTGCACGTTCGAATGGAGAGACCACATACAAACTAGGCTTCAATTTAGATACACTACGTAGTCCACCTCCCTTTCGCCCCTTTATTGTTCAAAAACATAAAAACAAAACAAGTTCATTAGTAACCACACCATAAGTACAAATAATTAGAAAACTTAATAAAGTGTAATACCTTCACAGTCTTGGCACAACCATCATTAGCAGCAACACTTTCATCACTCAACAATATGAATTTCTCAACTTTAGACGCTTTCGCTTGCTTGCAAGGAGACTTTTGCACAACTTTGACAGAAGGAGATTCAGAACCGCAGTCATCTCCAATTTCCCCCTCAGCTTCTCCCCAATTCTTAACACCTAACCCTTGAGTCTTGACAGATTCGGAGGTAGGAGAAATGGGTTCACTTGGTTTTTCAACCTCAGCCTTCTGATTGCCCTTTTCCCCTCTGATAAGCTGCTCCGTTGACAACAAAACAGCTGCAGAAGCTTTCACATTATCAGCCTCATCCTTCTTATCGTTCTTTTTCAACTCAGTAGGCGGCTCCCTTGACAACGGATCACCTATAGTTGCTTTCACTGCCTCTATAATGGACTTCACTTGACTACCAATTTCGTCTCTAAAAGCCCGAAATTCGTTCTCCATATTCACAACCCGACTCATTAGCTCATTCTCTCTGGAAGCAGCATCACCCATTGCAACTCTAAATTCTTGCCTAAAGTTGTCAATTCTACCCTCCATGGTAGTAAACCGAGCGTCAATACGCTCACGGAGAAGCAGCTCATCACCGTCGGGTTTTTGCCGTTTCCCATCTCTTTTTTCCCGTTTCCTTGCAGGTGATTTCAAACCTGCATCCTCAGCTGATCTTTTACCCGAACTGCTGGAAACCTACAAATTAATTAAAAAGGGAACCAAATGTACCATTAGCATGCTCCAACTCGTCAAAAGAATCAAATATACTATCAGTCTTACCACTTCTGTTAACAATAACTCCACGTCTCCGCTCCCCCAGCTCAACAAATCCAAACTCCTATCAATAGTTTCGAAAATACCATTTGCATGCTCCAAGAATATTAACTACAAAAAAAAAATACTATAATCAACATGATGATTAATCATTACAAATATGTAGAAAGTAGGGATTAGCAATTATTTACCTCCAAGAACAGCAAGCAACCCGGTATATACTTTCTCCCCTCAGCATTATGGTCGCAGATGCATTTGACCAATTCATTGAAGCAAAACGATGCCCAATTCTTCTTCGGAATATCGGCAACATCGAGGACAGCGTATACCGAAGATAACGAAAAGTCATCTCTTCTAGTTGGTACTAATAGCACCCCCATTACGTACAAAATAAACGTTTGAAGAAATAGATCGCCGCTATCTTTCATCTCCGACAAAGCCTTCCGCATTAAGCTTGTCGAAATCGCCTGTCGGGCACAATCAACTGTCGAATACACTCTAAATGGATTCAATTCCTCGGATCTTCGTCCCACTTCTTCACCATTCAAGATGATATCAGTACCTCCCTCAGGCACGCCCATAATTCGCTCGAAATCTTTGGCCGAAATATGGACTTTCAACCCATAAGCCTGAATTGAGCTTTCTTCCACATTAAAGCTCTTCAAAAGGATCTCCAACAACTCACGTTGGAGCATTCTTCCTTTGACTTCAAGCATACGACCAAAGCCACATCTCTTAATGGCCTCTGATTGACAAGCCTCTAAATTTGAGACTACTGAGAATACTTTCCTAGGAGAACAGCGGGTGCTAAAAATTTCATGACTCTTCGTCTTCATTATAGAACAATTTTAGCAAACTGCAAAATTAAAACAACAAAAAAATTATAAGCATGCCTTGAAACACGAATTATAAGCATGCCGAAGAGTACTAACAAAATACACAAAGCCAGAGTCGTCCACCACTGATCTAAAGAAGCAACTTTCAGTTTTCACACTTAAACACATTCGAGAAAACGTGGTTATGACAAAGTTTCATTCAAGAAAAGGATCATTTAATCATTCGGTAAACACATTCTCCAGGTAATGAGTTCAATCCTGGTTTTCAATATATGGCTTTAATCAATATTGAACAAATACAAGACTATACCAGAGCTCACAAGCACACTTGCCTCGATATCAAGTTCTAACTACCAGAAGAAATGAAAACCCCCTACATCAACACCTGAGTACACTAATTAACCATGAAATCCGCCATTGGCATATATAAATTTCACCCAAAACACCCAGCTTCCATTAAATTTCACCCAAAATGCAAATTCTCACGGCCGTGACATGACCCGTGAGAAGCAAAGAGTAGTTTTCATATTCCAGACAATCTCATGGCTTTGGTTTCAAAAATCACGGTCGTTAAACTAAGCCGTGAAACTAAAAACACCTTGTATGTAAAAATGGACTTCTCACGGCTCATCTTTAAATATCACGGGCGTGAGATTAACCCGTGATATGGGCACAGCTGAAACTCAAAAACACGCCTCACATCTGAAAATCTCACGGCCGGGAGATGAACCGTTAGATTTTTTTTAAAAAAGGGGGAGTTCCAGGGGGTTTCACGGGTTGGGTTCGACAGTATCACGGCCGTGAGATGAGCCGTGTTTGTGTAATTGAAATGCTGGACTTCTCACGGCTCATCTGTTAATCTCACGGGCGTGAGATTAACCCGTGAGATGGTCACAGCTGAAACCCAAAAAACACGCCTCACAACTTAAAACTCACGGCCGGGAGATGTGCCGTTAGAATGTTTTTAAAAAAATTGTAAGTTCCAGGAGGTTTCACGGGTTATATCACGCCCGGGACAAAAACCGTGAGATGGAACCCTCAAATTGGAAACACCCTATTTACTTCCTCTTTTCTACTTGAACCCGACCCCCAACCGTGAAGAAAGCAGCTAAAAGGTTGTCCAAAAAGAATAAACATCATTTAGCAAGTAAAGCAGGTGCAGAGCTAAACTTCTATTCTTCTTCCAAAATCACATCAACACCTTCCGTAAGTCTAGACTTGGCTAAGTAGTTACCAAGAAGAACGACTTCAATGGGACAATATTGAAAATCCGTCTTTATTTCTTCCCAAGTCTTTAGATGAACTAAAAATCCAAAATATCTTGCAAATAAAACAAAAGCCACTGAACATTTGTAACCTTCTACCCGCCATTTCCTAGGTTGGGGACAAGATGCAGCAGAACAGTAGTATTGATAAAGCATCATGGAACTTTAACATTTCATTTTCCTCAATTCGTTAACCAACATACGATCACCACCTTCATTAGAAGCAGCATAATCAGTAGCTCTGAAAACATAACAAATACACGAGCTTCTAACAATTTGGAGCAGTATGAAGTAGGCAAGAAAAAGATGCTGTTATGCGTTACAATGAGGTCTACTGATTGTATCAAATGTTCCACCACGATACCAACGCTTGCTAAAGATTCTAGAATTATGATCAGTCATATAAAATGAGATCGAGGCACGGAATGTACAATAAAGAATAAAACTGGGAGTAACTCCCAAGCTGCCGTATATTCTAAGGCCAACAACCATGCTCTAAATATCCTAACTAAGTTTGACCTTAATGTCTCATCATTCATGGAAGCTCTTTTACCCACTGCACTAAACTTCTTTTCTACATTATATACACAATTCTAACTCCACAGACAGTCCCTTCGGATACATCCGATAACTCCACAAACAGAAAACTCATACTATGAAGTGAACAGTTAAGATAAGCATTTCTGTTGGTTAATCGCATGCTTGGAGCCACTAACCATAGCAAAGAGACTTAAATCAATCAAACAAATCATGGTCTTCAAACTTAACTACATTCATCAATTGGCTAAACAGAGAAAAATTCCCAACTTTCTCAGTGAACACGGCCTTTCTATCTACCATATCATATCATATCAATCCTCCCACGAAGAAGATGGAAGAACTACAACAACAACATCCATCCAAAGCTTCCTCACCAATGGAAGCATCATCAACAACCACAACCACAACCACAACAACAACAACCACAACTGCTGTGAATTCTTAAGACTCGAATTCTTCTACCCTAACAACAGAAGAACCCAATGCTCCTCCTCAACAGAAGAAGATTGAGGAACAACAACAACAACAACAACAACAACAAGAGCCTGCTAAGGATGTTGCTGAAACGGAGACAAATCAAGCACAACCTCAACAGCAAAAACAAGGTGAAGAGAAGGTAAATGCTGCAAATTCTCCTTCAAAACAAGTGAAGGAACAACAGGAACCGCCATTGCAGCTAATTATCAAGCTAAACACAAAGAAGATAGTACTAACCGAAAAAAGTTGCGGTGGAGGAGGGGTTTTGTGCAGAGTCTTCGTTAGCTATCGATGGGAAGAGGGGTTTTGTGCAGAGTCTTCGTTAGCTATCGATGGGAAGAGGGTCTTCGTTTGCAATCGACGAAGAGATGCTCGCTCTCGTCGTCCCTTGCTCGCCGCCTTCACTGTCGTCGTCGGAATCCGGAATCCGAATCGCCGCCTTCACTGCCGCCTTCTACTTGTCGTCACCCACTGCTCGCCGTCTTCACTCGTCGTCACCCACTGCGTGGAGAGGATCGCCGTCTTCACTGCTCGCTAGCTGCGTGGAGAGGATCGAAGGAAGAGGGGTTTCGGCGGTGAGAAGAAGAGTGTAATTGGTTTCGAAGGAAGAAGAGTGTAATTGGTTTCAGACAACCGGTTGTACCGGTCATCAACACACAAATAAAATAATAAATTAATAATTTAAATGAAATCTAATGGTTGATATAGTTTGGACATGATCTAATGGCTGTAAATGTTTTATAGTACCAATACTATAAAGCACACTAAAATGACTCGTTCCTATAATCATAACTTGGAAAACAGTAACACGTCATCCTCTCTTTCACAAGAGGGACACTATTTTGGAAGAGCTGAACCCCTTGGAGAGCATAGAGAGAAGGAGATTGTTGGAAGAACAAAGCTTGAAGAGAATAAGAGGAATGCTTGAAGAGAGGATTTCCCAGCTTGGATTTCTTTTTAATGGTTTTCCTTCTCCTCTCTCTCTCTTGTTCTTCTTTTCCACTTCATTGGGTAATTTCTTAAGGTATTTTGGTCCCCCCAAATCATAATTTAGGATTTAGTGTGATAATTGGTAATATATGGTTTGATTGAGTTCAATTGGTGTGGCCAATGCTTCAACTTATATTTACATGTGTTTTGCCATGTTTGATAATATAGAGATTTGGCTTAGGTTTTTATAATCATTCCCCTATTTTGATTCCTCGCCTAATTGATGCCTCTGGAATGTTTACATGACCATTTAATCATGCAATTGGTGTGTTAACAACTTATTTAGAGATGGTAGTTTGTATCCCTAATCATGAAATTGGGCTATGTGACTTTGGGTCGGTGGGTGTGATTAGGAGGGGAATCGAGAGACATGACCATTACACTGATTCCCACCTAGCAACCTTCGAGCCTCCACTAAATCGATTTGGTTGAGTGTCACTTAGTGCTGTTTTAGCACCGACTCTGGTCAGACGTGGTTCAACTGATCGGCCGGACTATAGTTTGACAACGCTGATGATAATAGATTGATCACGACATATTTTCAAAAATTAAAATTTTATTTATATTAAAATAAAATAAAAAACTAAACTGAAGAAATCGAAACACAATGGTATGGGGTCGTTTAAAAAAGAAAATTTGATATGAGAGACTTATGAGGGATTTGGGCCAAAATTGCCCACTTAAAAACCTAGAAATTTTAAATCAGTTATTTTTCCAATTTACTTCTTTGTCAAGACATGAGGGATTCGGACCCCAATTATGCAAACCCAATTTACCTTCATATACCTCCTCCTCAATCCTTCTTCTTCAACCTCGTCTTTCTCCAGACAGGTATGATGCGATATAATCCCAGACAGAGCAATGAGTTTTTGAATTTTCTTACATTCCTCCAATTTCATTTCCAATTATGGTTCGTATTTGATATATTTTGGGTTTCCTCTATGTTCAGACGAAGCTTTCAAGGAGGCCAAGCAAAGCGCGTTGGATGCACCCAACTTAGAGTTGTCCTTCACAGCTTGATCCCGACAATATCCAATTTGGTTGGTGGCAATGCTCCCTTTGCGAGTTTATCCAAGGTTGATGCCCTCTACAATGATGGGTTTTGATGGGGGAGGATGAGCCAAAATAGTTTTCCCATCAGTCTCACAAACAAAGGGTTTTTAGGACAGGACCCTTGTTTACAACATTAGAATTGACGTGTCGTGGACTGGCAACATGGGCGATAACGAAAGTAGTCTCGTTGTCGGAGGTTGAAGCAGGTCAGGCAATCACCGTCGGTGCCAGACAGCGGTCTGAGTGGATACTTGACAATTTTGAGAGGGCAATTAAACGAATCAAAGGAATAGTATGTTGGGGGAGAAGGACATTTGACGAGAGAAGGAAGAAGAAGGATGATATTCGTCAGAAGAGGGGAGATGATAATTTTGGAAGTAATAAAAATAAAATTAGCGATTTCAAAAGAGCTGACCCCATCAGATCATCTGAATCAAGGGCAAACCTTGCCTGTTAAAAATACTCAATACCATTTAGGAATTAATTAAATTGAAAAATAATCATTAGTAGCTTTATTATAACCGAAGACCTATTATTTAAGAAAATATATGTGCTTCAAAATATAGTATTAGTGGCAAATACTAATGCCACTAAAAGGGGGAAAAGAAGGCAATAAAAGTCATTCAAAAGTGATTTTAGCAACACGAATATTTGTCCCAAATTCGTCAATTTGCAGCACATGGTAGCTGTCATTAACATTAGTATTGACAGCACACATTTTAGTATGGTACTAGGTCTATAGAGACACATAAATAACTTACAGTAGCATATATGTTCAATCGCTAAATCCGATTTTCTTGTATTGAGAGATTCATGGAGAGTGATGTTGTATTTGAAAACATGCCATTTGTAGTTTTAACGTTGCAATTTGGTTGTTGGTCAAAAGTAAAAACCCTCTAAATCTCTTGTACAATCTTCTTCTATTTATAGTGTGGCTCTAAACAAGGGACACTTTTTCTATCTTTATAACACTTGTAGGGACACACATTGTATGAACAAGTAGCAGATACTTCTGGTACTGTTCCTCTATCATAAATATTTGTTCATCCCTCGCATCATTGCCATACCATGGTAACCATGATACCAACGTTAGTTGTTACATAACATGCACTTATTATTGTTCTTATTAAGAAAAGAAACACTTTGCTTTGCAAGATTTACAACACTCTTGCACAAAGCAAATGCTTACATAATAGTACAATACAATCATTATGCTATATATATGAAGGCCCAACAAAGGCACACACCTTCCCCAACACAACATTAGCATATAACATTACTCTTATTATAAGAATTATTTCACATGACCACCAGACAGACAATACGATCAAGGTTGTTGTTACACAATGTCTCTCCCCATAGGAAGACAGAGAATATATTCGACCGGAGATTTATCATAAGTGGCTGTAAACACGCTTACTCGGTAAAACAGCTGCTAACACGACTTATTTCTTGTTCACGAACAGACTTTTTTGGAATGCTCGATCGCTCATCTCAGGAGGGTGGGGGTCCGTTTGCTGGCCGCAGAAGGCCGAGATGTAACTTAGGTCGGGTGCAGCCTTAACGATGGTTCTATGGCCGACGGTGATAATGGCCATCAGAGGGAGGAGCAGTGTCAAGAAAGAAACCATGTTGAAGATGAAGAAGACGATGATGGTAGTTGGTTATTATTGCTTTGTGTGCATGCATATAAATAGATAGTAGGGCTGGGAAATGGTGCGATCTGGTCCATACCAGACCATATATACGGTCTATGGTCTAGATCGAGAGGCTGAAGTATAGACCACAGACTATACAATCCGGTCCAGACCACGCCTGTTCGGTCTGGTCTGGTCCAGATAGACCACACTCAACGAAAAATGAATAATTTGTTTAGTCAACCACACAAAAATTGAACCAATAACAAAGAAAAATAATTGTTATTTGCCTTAAAAGATTAATCCTAACATGCATGCATAATTTTGAAACCCTAAATCTTAGTACATAACAAAAATACAAAGTAAAAGCATCCCAACTTGCACCATAACGTCATAAACATTAACATAATGTCCTATTGAGATACGATTATCTCTACTCTCTAGTTAAATATGGTTGTGAATGAAGGAGGGACGAGATTCACAAAACTAAGATTGAGACTTGAGTGTCGTTGTGGGAGTTGGGAGAGTGGTATAATGGGCTGTTAACACGTATTGACAAGTCGATTGGGTCCACGGTTTGGTCCGGTAAACCCGCGGTCTAGACCAGACCAGACCAAGAGATCAAAACATAAAATAATACAGACCATGGACCAGACCAGACTATACTTAACGGTCTACGGTCCAGACCAAATTGTGCGGTACGTTTTAGACCACGGTTTTTCTAATGGTCTGGTCTATTTTTCCAGCCCTAATAGATAGTACCACTGATTCTGTGTTTGGCTGCCTAAATAACTAGCTTCGGTCTTATAGTAAGTAGAACGTTTTTTCTGCGCGATATATCGACCAAATCAATCCGACTATTCCTGTTATGGCATCCATATCCGTCTTACTTTCATCTATAGTATCTTCCAAACTATGTTGTCTAATTAAAATTTACCATTTTTTATCTTTAGGGATATATATGTCAAGAACAAGTGGATCTAATTGAATTGTTGGGAGATTCAATTATGGATTATATATCACTTAATTACTATAACACAACGTCTCAAACGAAAACTTCTTATATAGATTTGAATTTTGCAGAGGTTTGCATACAATGTGCTTAACAGAGCATATTGGGGTCACTAAGATTTGAACGGAAGACCTCTCGATCACTTAATGCTCTAATACAATGTTAAGAACCAGTCGATCTTAATAATTAGTATTTTTTGAAAATGTTCAACATTGAAAGCCAACGACAATAATTTATTTGTCAGGAAGGACCAAACAACGAGTGCTAGGAGGTGCTCTAGAGTTAGAGGATAGTCCAGGGGCAATCTAGGAGAAATTGTCGTGGATTTCTTCATCAAGGAAGCCCGAAGATCAAACTTGGAGGTAGGAATCGAAGCTTAGAGTAGAATTTCTGCACTTTTCTATGGCCTAATCTCCTTCACTTGGGTTTTGATGAACCCAAGTTATGATTTGTTTAATTGGTGATTGTATGAGTACTCTTTCTTCCTAAACTCGAATTTATATCCAATCTATGCATTTGATGTTCAATTCTTTATTAATCAAGATTATTGATTTGATTATTGATCTATGAGAGGGAATATAAGATTAATTGGGTCAATTAGAGCACCTTAGATTGGAAGTAGGGGGTCGATTTTGCGAGAGTGAGTTGATTTTGTGCTTTGTATTGAGTGGGAACCTCACCCAATAGAGGGGATCTTGTGTAGAATGCCTTGATCAGTTGTACTAGCTAGAGAACGGTACGCCCCTCTAGACTACCGATTCAAGAGGGCTTTTGTGCTTTAATCGAGAATCAATGTCTAGTCAAGGATCATCCGCATTATAGACGAGAGTGGAGGAAGTTAGAGACTCATCAATCTCAATTCGGCTAGTGGCTTGGTGGATTCAAACACCCAAGTGAGCCT